CCCCCCCCCCCCCCCCCCCCACCACACACACACACACACACGCACACACACAGACACCCGTGAACTAAATTGATTTCTCTTTCTGAAAACATGGGAGCTTCGACCTTGAAAATTCTTTGCCGAATGATTTGTAATGTGGCTTGTCTTTCTTCCATCTATCGAATGCTTACACGTCGCTGGTTGTGTGTTTGTGTTGGCTGTGTTATGTCTGTGTATTGGCGGGCGGTATATGGTGACAGGCCGTACAAGCAGCAGTCTATCTCCCAGCTTCTCTCCCATCGCACAGGTTCTGCCACAGCCTGAGCCAAGGCTTGTCTCCTCTGCCAGTCTAAAGTCGCAGCCATTGGCTGAGTGCTCGCCTCTGACACCTTCTGCTACTTTCCCTTCCGTTGGTTCTCCCGGACGATCAAGATGTTCGGGATTGGCTAGTGAGTCCCCAGCCTCGTGCGTCATTAACCGGTTGTGGTCGGAGCCTTCAGGAGCCGGCAGCAGCAGCACCCTCAACCGCAACGACGGCTTGTCTTCTTTCGCGGGTAAGGACTCTCCTCGCCATCGCTTTGGTATCTCCCCCGGCGATGTCGGCGGGCAACTGCCAGTCACTTCGTCTTCCACATCCGCGGACAACGAGGAGTCGCAGCGGGACGTAAAACCGAGTCCGGCGGACATAGCCACGCTCCTTCGGAAGATAGGCATGACATCGTGTCCGCCTCGATGGGAGGAGGGGCAGGGAGGGAAACGTTGCGAGCGCGGGAGAGCGGAAGAGGCAGCACCGATGCGCCGGCGATCAACATGCGGTTCCCCCGAGGGCAAGGGCGCAACGGCGCACGGTGCGGAGGTGCCGCGCACAGCTCTCCGGTCGGGCACGGAGGAGGGTGCCAGCCTTCCGCTGTCGAGCAACAACAAGGCTCCCAAGAGCCTGGACTTAGAGAGGAATGCCAGCGAAGATGCTGGCGCAGCTGGGGCAGTCCCATCGACGCGTACACTGGTGTCGAGTGGCGCCGGGTCGCGCACTAAAGGGGGGGGGGTGATGTTCCACCAATCGGAAGCTCGAGCGCGGAATCGCGACCGGGATCGCACGGGTGCGCATGTCGAGAAAGAGGGGGTGTTGGAAGGAGAACGTTGGAGTCGTGCCCCGTCGCGAGACGAGGGGGTCGATGGGAGATCCCCTGTACCGGAGTGTCGAAGCAGGGTAGCTGTGGATGCCGTCAGAGGAGCAGGAGGAGGAGGGGGAGGAGGAGGAGGAGGAGGAGAGGGGGGGGAAGATGGACACGGCCCACATTTGAGGGACGAAGCTGGAAGTGGAGGAGGGGGACCGGGAATGTATAGCTCGAGATCGGGAACGGTTAGTAGTTGTAATCCGACGGCTACAGATAGCTCAGAAATGCAGGATATGATGCATAAGATGGTTATTGGAACGATAGAGGCTAAGATTGATGAGAGGAAAGAGGAGTTGAAACAGGAGAGAGAGAGATTGGAGATACTGGAGATGAAGGTAATGGCCAAACGAAGGGAGTTGACGGGATTGGAAGGAAGGAGAGCGAAGAGAAAGAGAGAGGTGGAGGAATGGACAGAGAGGAAGGTACAAGAGGCGGAGGAGCTGGAGAGAAGAGCAAAGAGAGCGAGGGAGGAAGCAGACGAGGCTTGCCGGAGCAAGATGCGGAAATTGAGGGAGATCGACATGGAGTTATGGGAGGAGGAGGAGAGATTGCAGAAAGAGATGGTAAGACAGGAGCTCCAGCAAACAGAGCTCAAGAGCCGGATAGATACGCAGCAGAAACGACTGCTAGAGATGGATAGAGATAGGGAGGCGGTGGTGGACAAAATGCGTCATGTCATGGAGCAAGTCGTCCTGCAACACTTGGAAGGATTCGGTACATAAAAAAGGTCTATACGCCTCGGAGTCCCAATTCTATTTTTGTTACAAGTCGCCTCAAGTGCACTCACAGCTCAGACAGCGCTTCTTTCGCCCGCCTGCGCATCCGCCTGCAGACTTGGCCGTTAGTCTGGCAGTCACCTCCGTCTACAGGCTACAGCCCGTAGGAGGACACTGCTATCGCGGGATCGGCCCAAAGGTGCTATAGCCGATAGCCGCATAGCCGGTCTTGCAAAAAGGGCCGCGATATCCCAATCTATAGCAAGCCACATTGGGGTGGAGAACGCTCGAGGTGAAACTCCAGGAGTGGCAGGAGGAGGAACATAGATGAGAAAGCGGTCAGGAGGTGAGTCAGCTGACAATGCAGCTGCACTGCAGCAGACCCCGATCGTTTAGTACGTGTAGTGCAACGGCTCTCTGAAGTTTGAACTCGCCTGCAAGTCCGCCTCCGCCTCCGCCTGTGGGCCGTGGCTGCTGATGTTGGTGGTGTTCTGCTGGGCTTGGGGATAGCGTCGGCGCGTACCCTAGAGGCAGGAGAAACACTCGTCGTTAGATAGGGTCGTCTCGTGCCCCACACTGCCCACAGGTTCGGTGAAGGAGAAGGTGGAGAGGAGGTGGCCTTTCGGTAGCTGGCTCAGAGCACAGGGGAGAGACCGTCATTGCATCTCGAATGATTAGGGAGCATTGGAGGAAGTAATCCTGTCCTGGATTGCTAGCCTTCAAGTGGAGGTCTTACAGCCGTGTTAACCTCGGAGTCCTCTTCCTCTTCCACGTCGTCCTCCTCCTCCTCCCACCTTGGCGGTCGAAACTGATCTTACCGATAGTTCGATCAAAAGGGAGGAAGGAGTCTTAGGAGTGTCGGAGTGAGGTAATTGACAGACTGCAGGATGAGGGATCGAACTCCCACAGAACAGAAGGGAGAGCAACACTAAGTAGAGGTGGAGAGAGTTGGCTGGCAAGAACGCCGGGACAAATGCCTTACACATTGATGTGGAGGTGGTAGCAACGGGATGGAACGAGGAGGATTGGCATGCCGACAGTGGGCACTGGGCGGACGCTATTCCCCATGTACCATGCGTGTAGCATTGATCGGTTAAGTCTGATTGATTCATTTGTCTTATTGAATGATTGATTGATTGGTTGATTGATTGATCGATTGATTGAGAGATTGATTGCGAAAGATTCATTAGCATACGCCAGAACGAGAAGCGGACGAGGAAGAGAAGTAGACGAGGAAGCGAAGGGGCAAAAGAGAAAGAGGTAAGGAGTTCGAAGTCCCCTTCCGCGGTTCCAGCGTCCTTTTCATCATTTCGCTTCTCTGACGGACGCGTCGGACGGGCCCGATAGCTGCGCATGGGCATGACCCTTGGGGCTCTTAGTAGGTTCCACAACACTAAGTGTTGTCTTGACGTGCCCTTTTCGCAGCTATCGGGCCCGCCAGGAACCGTAAGGCAAGGGCCCAAAGGGCAAGGGCCCAAAGGGCAAGGTCATGAGATATGAGAACAGAGAGAGATGACAAGGAGAGGACAGTGGATGGAGAGGGAGTTGGGAGAAAAGCTGGGTTTCATCTGACGCTATATTCGGGTCGAGTTTAATCTAATCTAATCTAATATTTATTACTGTTTCATGTTCGGAAGAAGTTTTAAGCCTATCAAACAGCACGCTTTAGGCGTCATCTCACTTTCCAGTCATTCGATTGGTCTCATTCGCTTCGCTGTCACAGTGACAGTCAAGGTGTCTCGACTGCTGTTGTTCCCGATGGGAGTCGATCCCGCTCACTATGGGAAGTGGGAAGTGGGAAGTGGGAAGTTCGACTTGAAAAAGAGTTCTCAAGGGAGGGAATTCTCTGTGGGAGAGGTCCGAGAGGATGCTGCCATCATGCTGGTATTACAGCAGCTTAACTTACAAGAATTGCCTAGGTTTGATCTACTGTGTCCGTGTCTGACTCGCCGCTACACTATTTAATTAGTAGAATAGAATAGAAAGCTGGTTGAGAGTTGGAACTAAGGGTTAGGGCGGAGTGGACTATGTCTAGGTCTTCGCAAGGAAATCTGAAGGTTGACATGAGCTTCTCATCAAGAATTGGGTGCCGATAATTATAATTTAAGGCCTCGGATGATGTGGAATAGACCTAGATATAGTCCAGACTGTGGGCCTGCACCTGACTCCCCCCCTTTCCCCGACTTGTTGCTAGTATGCGACGGTTGGGGACACTAGAAGTCTAGGAAGATGGGAGTTGGTACTGAGTTGGTACCTAGGGTTAGGACGGGACTGGACTATGTCTAGGTCTGTGAAAGGAAATCTGACGATAGACATCAGCCGGTGAAAATTCACTTGCCTTTTTTTTAACATAATAGACGTTGGATATTCCAACATAGACCTACGCATAGCCCAGTCACTGTGGCCCTACCCCTAACTCCCTCCACTTCTTTCATTCCCACTGATGCTCTGTACTTGCTTAGAATGCACCCCTTGGAGCCTGCCAGCGTCAGCGTCGGCACCAAGCTGGTACATCCTAAGCACAGACATAGCACCAGGTGACCAGGCTTACAAGTGAGGTCTGGCCCAGGCTGGGCTGGGCTGGTGTTATCTTAAACCACCAGTACTTGGGCGACGCCTGCCTTAGCGTTAACGCTACGCGATTTCCGCGGCCGGCGGGCCGTCGATAAATCGAATCGACAGCCCGCGCTGCTTCGAGATTTGGGCGGCCGGCGCGGCGCGCAGTGCCCAAGTACTGGTGGTTTAAACCACCTGTTCACACGAGCCCAAGTTGACGGAGCTACCTTCCTAGTCTTTTGAGCCTGCGAGGCTGCGACTGCTCATTTTCAAAGTGGCCAGCCGCATTCACTACTGGCCCAGGCTTAGATTGAAAACACTTAGAAGTTAGTACCCGGGTTACCCCATATACTGGTAAGAGCCCTACTGGGCTTCGGGTGAACTGGTGGTTTAAGCACGGACGTCATGATAGCACCAGGGCAAGTGAGGTCCGTCCCAGGCTGGTGTATGCTAGGCACAGACATAGCACCAGACTAAGTGAGGTCTGGCCCAGGCTGGTGTATCCTAAGCACGGACATAGCACCAGACTAAGTGAGGTCTGGCCGAGGTTGGTGTATCCTAGGCACGGACATAGCACCAGACTAAGTGAGGTCTGTCCCAGGCTGGTGTATCCTAAGCACGGACATAGCAGCGCTGAAATCTGGCCTTCAGCGTCTAAAGCCCGGGTTCCACTGGGGGTATGTATGCTCCTACTAGACTAAGAAAACTCTTAAAGACGGGCCGGAGGCTCCACTGCTGCTATGTTCCTACTAAGAAAGTCTGAATCTTCTGGCCTCAAAGGTGGTCACATTCAGGCTAGCTTAGTACAAACATTGCACCAATGAGCCTGACCCCAACAGCTTTGTGCAGCTGAGTCTGAGCCTGAGGAAAAAAACATGTGTACCTTCTCAATCTGTCCAAGATAAATTGTCTTCTATGTTCCTCCTGATCATATCCCTAAGAGATCGGACTCCTCGTGGTATCTCCTAATTCTATCCCCTCTGAAATCCCCCCCTCCTGATGGTATTTTTAAGTTGAGACTCTTGAGAGTCTCTGGAAGATCAATCCCCCCATTTTTTTGTCAATAATAACTTAACAAGTATTAATAAGTAATAACAACACAGACTTGTATTTAAGTCTGAACAAGCAGATCTGATTCAGTGTTTCTTTTTTAAGCCCCCGTGAGTAGGAGTTTTCGACTGCCAAAACGCTACTAGATAACTTTGGAGTCTTGGAGTCTCCTCGAGAAGACAAGCCTTTGTGCGGAATCTTACCATTATGTATACACAATTTGGGAGTTTCCAGATTGGGAATCTCTGCTTTCGGAGTTTCTGATGTGGAATTTCCAATTTGGGAAACCACCAGCAACAGACTGATCACAGTTCCTATGAGTCCGAGGAGCCTCGCAAGAGTCTCGTACGTCTTAAGTCACTTAGAGAAGTACCGAAAGTCCCCCCAAGTCCCAGAAGTCCTAAGAGTCTGTATGTAGTCTTGAGCCTTTGGTCAGACTCTCCAGTACTTAGTCTACCGGTAGGAGATCAAGTGTGGGCCTTAAACCACCACTACCTGTGAGCCTCAGCGCCTCTCTTTGCCGAGGCGGATAGGTTGAGCCTGCACGCCAAAGAGAAATGAATGAACCGCAATGACGGCGGCGTTCTTTCTTTCATTTTTTTGTTGTGGCTGGCGCCGCCATCCACTTTGGTCCAGTAACACTTGTTCATCTAAAGTCTTCCTAACGCTGCATTAAATTTAAATTTTCGATTTTCGATTCTCGACTTTGCCTGGCCACTGGGGAAGGTCCTGGTGGTTCAAGTTCGGGACCAGGTCCTGCAGAAGATGCTTTTCACGACTGGAATGACCAGCACTACATGCAATCATGGCCGTTGAAACTTGAAAGCCGTGACTGTGTGTAACGGGGGCCATCACCGTCGATACCGTCACTAAAAGTTTGGCTGTTGCATTACGCGAAGAGAGCTTCTGGGGGCGAAATGGGGCTTGAGTAGTGACATCCTTGGTTGGAACTCGTACTAAGTTGTCGGACTCTCTCTCAAGGTGCTGAAATTTAAGATGATTAGTCTCAAGGTGTATACCTTTGGAGGGGGATGACCACGATGTTCTTATGAAGTGTGGACTTAGTCTCATGGATGAAGTGTGGACTTAGTCTCATGGATGACGTGTCTCATGGATGAAGTGTGGACTTAGTCTCATGGATGAAGTGTGGACTTAGTCTCATGGATGACGTGTCTCATGGATGAAGTGTGGACTTAGTCTCCATGTACTGTCTCATGGATGAAGTGTGGACTTAGTCTCATGGATGACGTGTGGACTTAGTCTCATGGATGAAGTGTGGACTTAGTCTCATGGAGGTTGAGACACTTGGAACTCCTGGTCTCATAGATGTTGAGCTAGTACGGAGTCTCATGGATGTTGAGACGCTTGGGACTGTTGGTCTCATGGATGTTGGGACACTTGGGACTCTTGGTCTCATGGATGTTGAGACACTTGGGACTCCTGGGACTTCTTTGGCTCCAAACAAAGGCCTGCCAGTGGGCTTGCAACGAGGACCTGTCACCGAATGAAACGGTCCTTGTTCTATGACATGCAGAAATAGACTCTGACTCTCTGAGTTCACTCATGAATGAATTCTTGCTCGCACCGCACTGAAAAGGGGCCCAGCTGGGTTGCAATCTTAGTATGATTCTTTTTCCTTTTTTTCTTTTTTCCTTTTTTCCTTTTTTTTTTAGTATGAAATATTGTAGATTGGATTCTGCTATAATATTGTCTAGAGTCCCATTTGATGCTGAACTTCATGGACTGCATCTCAGTTCTTGTTTCCAAAGGGACGGGAGGGGCTAGTATTGAAAAGAAAGGAGTCTCAGAATTAAATTTTACCAATGCACAAAGAAAAGAGGAGAATGAATGAAACCTTACTCGCACTGAAAGTTGGCTGCGGCTCCGCTGCCTGCTCATCCGCCTGGGTCGCATAGTATTGGTCTATTGGAGTAGTTCCTATACTCTATAGGTTCTGACTATATTGTATAGAGTCAAGAGTCCCATCATGCGTTGCTGTAGCCTGTAGCAGACTGCATCACGTCCCATCATACGATGTTGCTATACGATGTTGCTATACGATGTTGCTATACGATGTTGCTATACGATGTTGATGTAGACTGCACTGTGTTCTATCGTAAACGCACTGGAAATGCTGCACATAATCTAGTGGACTCGGAATATTACATTGAATCAGGGTCAGATGCATCCAGGTCAACTTCAACCATGATCTGAAATTTTGAGGCACTTTTGAAGGGAATTGAATTGTGACTGTGTTTCTAAGGGCATAGTACTCAGACTAGGGCTTTTTTAGGTATTTACTATTTATCGACAACGTAATTTGGGTCAGATGCATCCAGGTCTGGCCGTAAATGCGGTCAGAAACAATTAAAAAAAAGAAAGTGCTGGTTCACGTGTTAAAAAAGGGAGCTTCCCTATGCCCTTTTTGCCACACTTGTTTTGCAAGGTAAAAAGCAAGGAGGGTAGATAGTGAAAGATGAAAAAGAAAAGAAAAGAGAAAGAGAGAAAAAAAAAAAGGAAATGGCATAATGCCATAATCTGATGCCATGTAGAAATGAATCATGTGCAATTAAAATTCTACATTGTAAGAGTAATAAAATCGGATGGGAGAGCGGAAGAAGTGAATCATTATGGGAGAGGGAGGGAGTTGTGGTCCTCGTGGATGTAAAATGAATATAAAGTATGAAAAGGGGGAACTATGCGGGAGTCACAAAAATGAGTTATACTAATTAGTAATTGCACTATGGCCCAACATACAGGTTCTACTTGCAGTTCGGGGCCTTCGGGCAATGTATACAACCCAGTTTTCTGGCCAGGTAGGGTGCCCGAAGTGCAATTGCAAACTGTATCTTGCCCCATATATAGTGCAATTATAACTCTTTTTTGTGACTCTACTGAAGTTACCCCATTATATTAAAAATAGCAAGTCATATTGGAATTAATTCTTGTCCATCATCATGATGACCAATGACCATTTATTTGATCTAAGCGCAATTAAAATGGTATTTTGAATTCAAATTTCAAACTGAAAATTTTCATTTCAATAGAAGTGTGCTTCTATTCTTTTGTCATTTGGCACCGCAGAATTGAATACCTGGTCCAGTGTTTATCAATTTTTATTAAAATAATTAAACTCTATTTCTAGGCTTTAAGGCTTTTAGTATCAATGCAGTCACTGTTGTGTTGATCAGCAGGCGCAGCTCCCCATCAATAGATGGAGCGGTTTATAATAATAATTATAAAAAAAAAAAAAAAGGTTGTGTTGATCAACTTGATCTTGTAGTAGTTGCCTTAACTCCACTGCTTTCACCATTCTAAGGAAGTGCCTACTATGTACTTGGCCAAAATAGTTAGCCAAGTTCACAACTTTGAGGACCACAGAATCATGCTGCTTTGTGCCATTGATGGGACAGCAATGAAAGAGGAAAATGGTAAAAAAAAAAGTTCAAACACGCCCAAGGAATCAAGTTTGCAAAATTGCTGGATGGTTTTCTTTTCTGGGTTTCCACAGTGCTGTGATCAGTCTGAGAGCTCTGCTTCGCCGGAGAGCCTGCTCAGCTAACTGATCGCATCTTTTTTTTTTCTTTTTTTTTTTTTTTCTGACAGATCGCAGCTTTTCATGTGAGGGACACTGGGCCCGGTTCCCAGCTTTTCATGTGGGGGAAGCATCACATCACGATTGATGGATTTTTACTATTTTTTAGTTTTGCATTAAAAATAAAAGTAGTTGCAGAAGGTAGATAAGAGCTCAAAACAGTCGAAGGGTCTACTAGGCCAATCATGGATTCTATGCTTCACCAGGACCTGGTATGAAAACGGTTGCCACTGACCGGAATACAAGTACTAGTAAATAAGCACCTTCTTTTATATAAATTAATACTAAAGAAATTAATAAAATTATAGACTAATTATTTAAGTTGGAAGCCGGGTGGTTGACAAAGGTTTTCTTTCCTGAAAATACAAAAAAAACGAGTTCTTTTTTATCTGGCATGAGTTTTGATCCACGAGCATCTACAGCACCTTTTACTAAAATTAAAGTTATAATAAAATAAAATGAGAATTCAAAAGATATCAGAACATTTTTCTTTTTTTTCTTTTTAAAGAGTAGTCTGGAAGGCCGGTGAAAAATTCACGGAAGCTGCTTACGTGTGCTCAGGCCGCGGTATTCTTTAGTAAAAGGCGAAAGAATAGTACGCCCACTGAACTGGGCATAGCTTGCTTTGAGTTTATCATAAATTTGTCACATATGAGTCAAAATGAGCTCATATCCAGCGGCCTAGCTCAGTTGGTTAGGCACACAAGTGGCATTCAGGAGGTTGTGGGTTCAAGCCCCACTCCGCCTGCGGCGCACTTAGTGCCAATGGATTGTGATAGTCCTCTGATACCCCTCGTCGGTATTAGGGGTGTCTATGACCAACACGGGTGTGAGTGCGAGCGCGAGTGGCTTGTGTGTGGTGTGTGGGAGAGTGTTGGCAATAGCCTCTGCTCAGTCTGCTGCTACTCGATGATGGGTGGGGGACGATGAGAAAGGGAGGCGCAGCTACTGGCAAAATACTCGGTCTTTGTGTTAGTTGGACCCCCACCGGCTGACTACCGCTGTTGGGGCGGGGGGCAACATGATTTACCTCATTTGCGACGCCCTATGCTTGCAGCGCTCCCCTCTATATAGTCTTAGGAGCAAAAGGAATTTGAGAGAAGAACATAGTGTAGTTAAAAAGAAGAAAAAAATGACCTCATCATTTAATAGGTAAAATATAAAAAAGTTAATTAAAACAATAAATTTAAAAAAAAAATGAGGACCCCAAAGATCTTGTAGAACACACACACACACACACACACACACACACACAAAAAAAAAAAAAAAAAAAAAAAAAAAAAAAAAAAAAAAAAAAAGCAGTGCAGCTTGCAATGCCTTGCATAAAATTAAAAGGAAACACTACCTTTAAGCCACTAGTCTGTTGGAGCCTCTCTTTTGCGATGCGAATGTCTGCCATGCGCCAACCGGCGAGGGAAGAAAATCCCAAAACAGGTTTAATTTACATTTTCAGCTCCTATTCAGATCAGATTCTGCACTTTTCTATAGAAACCCCTTGGAAGTTCAAGTTGTTTGTGCATGACTCTGCAGGTGGCTGGGGGTGTGGGAACGGGCAAAAGGAGAATCATGACCAGATCTGCTTCATACTCCTGAGAATGTGTGCAAGCCGTCTCACGAACATGCTGCCGTATTCTTCCCAATACAACCACTATGGGCTCAACCATCCGTCCTGTACCCATTGAAGCTAACAGTAGACTCAGTACCCATGCGTCCTGTAAATTTGTCCTCATGGATGTCAGACTCTTCTGTTCGAGGCGAGAAGGTGCACAGTTGAAGCAGCTCACATCATGGAAAGCCAGAGCCAGAGGCCCAGAGGCATGTGCTCACCACAACTTGCCAGGAAGGGCTGTGATGCTTAGCCAACCTGTATATATTGTGTAGCAATCAAATGGGTGTCTTCTGTTCGAGTCTTCAAGACGATATAAATTATGTAAACAACTTGTATCAAGTTGTATGAGAAAGAAAGGAAGAACAATTTGAAAGAAAAAGAGATGAAATCGCACAGAAAATCAACGCCATTCGATTGTTGAGATCAGCTCTTCAATCATTTGATGATAGCAATGAAATGGCTCAAGACAGGAACAGTAAAAGGGAGATGGAGGAAAGAGGAGGGGAAGGGGGGGAGAGAGACACACAGACAGAAGACGTATATTCAGGTATACATAGAGACCGACAGACAGATGCATTGGACAGACAGACAGACAGACAGATGGGAAGATCAACAGGCAGGTTGTAGTGCCAGTAAGACAGACTCTGAGGTGACGAGGAGGCCAGCTGGCTGAGCTGCGCAAACAATTACCAGAAACAAATAACTTGAGAATTTTTCAATGCAAGAAACAAGTTAAACACAAATTGTAAGGAAAGGAAGAAATTGAAGAAGAGACAGATTCTGAAATGGAGTATCAGCCACCTGTTAAAACAAAAAAAGGAGTATCGGCCACTCAATAGGAAACTCAAATGTTGTGTTGACTTCTACCTCAGACACGCACTGTCTCGACAGAGAATTGAAACATACGCATTCAAGCCCGCCTTCCTGGCTGGCACAGAATCTGTCACAATCTTTCTCTCTCTCTCTCTC